TATTCTGCAATTTGAATATTTGTTAACATTATTGTTGGAATTTCTAGATGTCTTTGCTGCACATATTCAACCATGAAGTAAAATTATAAACTTAAAAATCACTTACTTTCTTGAAGATACCAATTTAGGAATGAGAGATGGCACTTATTTCCTTAAAACAATACCTTATTACACAAGAGATCTGCTTGCGTTATGTAACTGTTGTTTATCTCTCACATCACGACTGAACAGCTTTGTATGAATAAAAGTTTAAACAATGAGATACTCTAGGACAATATCCGCTTATTACATCCAGTTTCATATTCATATTGGTGAATCCATACTTAAGGACAGAAACATACCATCAAATGATTATACGGTAGATTCTGAAGGATCATCAGAAATCAGGACTAGGATTCCAGATGTGGCTTTTGTATTAACCCCACAGCGCGTCCCTGATTGTCTAAACCCATCTGGACATCTAGTATATACTGTAAAGCAGATTACCAGATGTAAACTTCAATTGTCTGCAAACGTTAAGCCAATCACACAGTGCTCTGATTCAAATCATAAAACCAAGTCAGAAGACCTTGACCTAGCTTTGATTGGTGCCATGGATACACTTTCATTTAAACATGTGGATAATCTATTTGCGTTATTCAAAATTGTATGCAACTGTCACATGTCATAGATCGATTCTTATTCAGTTAGTGCTTAAAAAGTTTATCGTGTTTAGTTTGTTGCTATGTTGATGTTGCCATTGCAGATTTTTTTAATATAAACCATATACAACAAATCAAAGGTAATGAATTATGAATCTTAGGAAGTTCCAATACCGATGTCAATACTTTGGCTTTAACTATCTGCCAGTACCCAATATCAACTGATACCAGGACAGAGAATGAAAATATTATAAATTTTCTTTAAACATAAATGGTGTATGGTTAAATATCACCAAAATGTAGCAATTTAAACTACAAAACAGCTTTGAAAAAACACAAGTTTAATGATACAGTGTGTTTTGGTAGCCAGGTTGGCGCCACCTAGTGTCTCCACTCAATTTAATTTCTCTCCAGTGACTAGGTCAGGGATCGGAATACACTGGACGGTTCGCAAAAACCCAGAAAGTGCGAGTTTGAGCGCCAGCCAATCAGCGAAGAGCCATATATTCTGTGTTGGCAATGATTCCCAAGATCGAGGATTTAAAGCTGGAACAAAGAGAATGTTTGGTGAATTTTATCAAGGGGGAAGACGTTATTGCCCTTCTTCCTACAGGATATAGGAAAAGCTTAATATACAAGTTGGCCCCGTTAGCGGCGCATTACATACGTCATGACCAAATAGCAGCGATTCAAAATGAAAAAAAGTACCTGTTTACCGTCGAGAGAACGAATTCTAATGCTGTGAGGTCAGACTGTTTCTACGAAGTGCAACCAGCAGATGAATCAGGCTAGTGTTCTGCGCCAACATTGACCAATAAAGTGTCTTATTACAGATTACAATTTCTAAATGAAAATGACATATAAACTGAACCAATATCTTGGAACCGATCCATCAACAATTTTCAATATCAGCAGGAATATCCGATACCTGTAGCATGTCTGTGCATCCCTAATTTTGATCACCAACCTGATATAGTTGGGGACAAAATTATAACAAAATGAAGCCATTTCATTCCAATTATTCTCTAAAGTTGGCAATCTAAGCTCTGAAGTGAAGAGGAAATATTATAAAATAGATTAGAAAATAGCGTAACATGGCCCTTTGCCTGTCAGTCATATGGGGCTTGTAGTAAAATCATCGGTTAAGGTCTCTCTAACCAGCTTTGTTTTGGAGCTATTGGACTACTTACTTAATCCGCTAAACAAATCCCTTCGTAATCTCTTAATTAAACCCGAAACTGTGTGATTTAGCTTGGTAAGTTATGACCAATGAGCTAGTTGTACTGCTGATGAGTGCTACCACGGGATAAGCCAAAAACACCTGTGGATCCTAAAACACACAATAAATTCTTTTCTTTGCTCGAGAAAACAAACGCTCAATCAACCTTCGACTCTCGCTGTGATGGCAACCCATTTAATCAACCTTAGCTGTTCCTGGCTGCTGTTAGCTCTTAAATGCATCAACCACTGATAGTAATTTGGATTGTTTTACTCAAATCTCAATGGGAATGGGGTGACTTATGGTTTTGCATTTAGCATAGAGGGAGATCGGGCTAAACAAAAATTAGCAAAGTGGTCTCTCGCAGGTTATGGCTGTTATCTGAGCGCTCTTGATGCGTGACATCCATTATAGCTGCCAACCTAAAATCGACCCTCATTAAATTTAGTTTTACTCTCCTGTCATTTAGAGGCAGGGGCCATTCGTCACTTCTGTCACTCTGATTGTATCTTTACAATAAGCAGACAATGACGATCAAATTGCCTTCCCGTGGCATTGTGGGTAGGGGTCATAATACTACTTTTCTATGATTATGGAAATGGTGAGGCAATACATTATAGAGATACTGCTGCTGGTATACCCGGGGCAAATATAAACCTTAAACCTCACTATAGTAAAACTGTTCATAGTAGAAATTATGGCGTAATTTGAATTAAAGGGCCCATCTTATGCAAAATCAACTTTTCAGAGCTTTCTACCTTCTAAGAGTGATGTGTGGGCCTTGTATATGTAGCCAAAGTGTTTTTTTAAATTGCAGCGTATTTCTGCCACCCTCCCATATGACGCCTGTCTCCCCCTCCCTCCCTGAGACGGGTGGAGGAAGGGCGGCTCACTCAAAGTCTACGTCATGTTTGGAGGGCGGAGCCTGTGCTTTCTCAGGACGGGTGGGCGGATGAGCAATAGTCGGCCTTTCATAGTACCTGGTCTGTGACTGTCTCCAAGAAATCAGAAAGATTTCATAACTAGTGTGTAATGGATGTTCCAAAACCCAAATTGTGCTCGTATATGTGCATAAGATACAATGTGAGTTCAATTTGCATGAGATGGGCCCTTTAAAGGCGCTTAAAACTGTTATTTCTTCTTGTAGTCTGCACTGAAATGGAGCAAAGGATCATTGTTTGTGGGTGTCTGTCAATATATTGTGATGATCCACCATATTATTGTGAGAACTTGGCGATATAATATCACGATATTTCAGCTATTGTTACATCCCTAATTGCTTAGTTATAACAAACTCTTACCAGTCTTACCAGCTCGTCAAAACAATGCCATTTACTGCTTTTCCTCATGTGGCCCCACAGAAAAAAATCATTGCCCACTCTTGATCAAGACTAAACTGGGTCCAAACTAACCCCAAACAAGAAAAAGTACAAATCGATCCATACTTAAAATGGACTGTACTTTCTAATACTACATCCGCTGCTCACTCATACAAAGTGAGCGAATGTGTTCTGCTGCCCGTGTCTCAGAGGGGAGCATCAGCTGACACCTCCTACAGCGCCCCCCACAGGGACGGCTCACACATAAGGAATTGATGGTTGACATAGAAAGAACATGTGCCCCCAACACAGTTATTGAGCATAAGTGAGACTGGCCCATGTCAACAGTTACTTTTAGAAAGCTCAGCGGGGGACTCTGTGTGTGTTTGCTATTGTGCCAGTGGGGCTCCACAACTACTACACTGTGAATATGATGCAAAGTCACACCTGCCACATCCAGTCATCTACAGACTGAAAGATCCATCCTCAATATATAGTTTTTGTTAGATCTTAAAATATGTTTTTAATTGTTGTGTTATATACTGTTATGTACGTCTCATCTGCTTTGACAAAAATAATTGATTGACATATGCACTACCAGTCAAAAGTTTAGACTTAGGGATGTAACGAAATCCAAATCTCACTGTACGATATTGTCACGATATACACCTCACTTTACAGTAATTATTGCAATATTTTGTGGAGGCTAACAAAATTGTGAATATGCAACTTTCCTCTTAAAATGCCTTGACAAGACTTAATCCAAAGAACTAAGACTTGAAAGTGCTTAGAACTTTCATGTCTTCATGTAGTTTGCACCAAAACGGAGCAAAGGATCATGGTCAATGTAGTTCCCTCTGTTTTTTTAAGCTATTGCTGCACCATAACAATGAATTTAAGCAAAGAAACTTGTGATTCGATATATTGTGATGGTCCACGATATTATTTAGAGACTTTTGACGATACGATATCCCGATATTTTGGTTATTGTTACACCCCTAGTTTAGACACACTTTTCTTTTTTGTTTCTGTGTTTGTTGTTTACGTTGAAGATTCTCACTGAAGGCATCAAAACTATGAATGGACACATATGGAATGTAGCATAAAAAAAAACAAAAACAAAAAAAACTTAAACTTAAAAAACTCAACATTCTTAGATGATAAAAAATAGCCACTCTTTGCTTTGAACCCTGGTTTTGCACTTTGGACATTTCTTGACCCTTACAAGACAGACCAGTGAAAAGAAAATTATTTCATGAAACTTCATCAAGAAGCTCATTGAGAGAAGGCCAAGGGTTTGCAACTCTTTTAACAAAGCAAAGAGTGGCTACTTCGAGGATTTGAACATAAAATATAAAAAAAGTATATAAAATGTTGAAAGTAGTAAATATAATGTGTATCCAAACATTTGACTGGTAGTATAATTAATTACCCTATTGCTGTCCCTGATGTGGAATTGTTTTGGGTCAAAAAAAATGGTGATAGAAAATATTTCTAAATGACTGAAACCTTTTTTGTCAAGTGAAGACTTAGTCACAGTAGGACTCGTTTTAGACACTGCTGCTTCTTTGCTCCATTGAAATTTTGTTTCATTTTGTACAGTAAAATCTCATCTAATATAATCTACTTGTAGTAGTGTGCTGTCAACTTGCCCTTTTTATTCATAGTGAAAGAATTCAGTATTGCATTTTGAAGTATTCTGAATGAATTCTTTTTTGAACATTTCCAGTTCAAAATGATCTTAAAAATCTGCTTTTGTGAATGACAGTGTCAGATTCATAAGTTGACACTGACATAAACTCTGTCCTGTCTCATTTGCAGAGACCTCCTCCTCTATTATGGTTTACATGGACACCACCACCACCACCAGCCGCACCACCGTCCGCCCCAACACCGTTACCATGACTACAACCACGACCAGAACAAGCACCGCCAAGACCCCCACCACCACCACCACCCCGGTACCCTATTGGGCCCGAACCACATCTACCCCAGTGGCTCCAGTGCAGACGGTGGTGGAGGGTCTGGATACGGAGGAAGATGAGAGGCTCCCGGCTTCGTCCAACCTGCCCAACATGAGAGCGGAGTCCTGCAGCCCCATGGTCATGATGGACGTCTCCTGGCCCAAGACCAAACAGGGGCTGGTGGCAAAGATGCCCTGCCCTCCTGGGACTATAGGTACTGTGCTTTAAAAATTCACTGTTGATTTTGAAACTAAAGAAAGACTTCATACTCAATACAGATTTTGATACCAGGGTAATAAGACAAAATATACATAACTTAGACTGTATATTTATGAGATCTTTAAACTACAAATGGATCAAGGCCTTTCAAAAACTATTCATTAAAAGTTTATTTCTGTCATTTCTTCAGTATAGAGACATTTTCAAACAGGTATCTACTTTCAGTTCTTTTTTAAACCTTATTGTTCACCATAATAATAAAGAATAATTATTAAATACAATTAATACATTTAATTATGAGGCCAATTTGTTGGACCACTTACAACAATTGCCTTTTTGTAAGACACATACGTAAAAAATAATAGTTGTAAATTCTTGTAATAGTAGTATTTGTATTAGTGGAAGTCGTAGTAGTAGTTTTTTACACACTATATTATTTTTTTTATTTTTTTCCAGTATTTATAATGCAGTTATAATGAAAATAGTAAATTATTGAACTTTAATGAGATTGAATTATCTTGACATTTATTTCAAAGTGCAGTAGTATATTGAATTACCAGTGCTTGAGTGAATACATGTTGTCTCAAATTTCTCTCTCATTTTCATCTGAGCAGTTCCACTTTAAATCCTTGTACCTTTTCTTGATGTTTTTATTTCCTGCAGCATAGCTTTCTTTGCTTCTCTCCCGACTCCCTGATGCTGTTAAAGCTAAAGATAGCCCTGCATTACATCCACATGGCACGTGGTAACTAGCACGACACACAGCCTTATTTATGCCTCGTCTCGGAGGATTCAATTGGTGTAATTAATTAGCGGGTAAAGACATTTGTATTAGTATCACTGCGGTGGCGCCTTTACTTTGTATATAAGTGCTGAACCTCTTATAGAATCCCTTTGAATTGTGAAAGTAATAAAGTACACATAGTTTATTATATTTAATCAACATGTAGACAAATGTAATATTCAACAGTGCTGGTGGAAGGTTTGTCTGATGTCTCCATGGAGATCTTATTGCTTTACCTGGAATCGCAGTATGACACTTAACACATACGCAGTATCGTATACATTATCTCCATGGACACAAGCAGGTAATGCTACGAGGCCGATTTACATGTCAAATCTATGGAGAGGTGATCCCACTCACAACAAGAATGCATGTTTTTCACTGCAATAAAAACGACTGTATTTAAATTAGTGCAAAATAGGTCAGTTTAATGCCATACTGTGGAATATTTGAGACAAAGCAATATGATTTCCACGCAGAAAAGTAACAGTGCACCTTTAAATGACCCAGGCAAAATATCTTAATCTTTATACAGAAGACATGTAGGGTGTATCTGCATTAAGGCAATGACAACAACAAGCATCCCTTAACCTTGTTTTGTAGGGAAGTAACGATATCCAAATCTCTCGGTACAATATTATCACAGTGCGATATTTATTGCGATAGTTTGGAGAGGCTAATTGAATTGTAGATAGGACACTTTTTTGCTTTTAAAAACACCTTGAAAAGATCTTGGTGTGAATTATTACTGTCATAATCCCAAGAATTCAAGTAAAAAACATATCTCTCCAAGTTGTCTGCACTGAAATGAATCATGGGATATGTAGTTCTCGATGTTTATAAGCTGTTGCTACTGTAAAACAATGTATTTAAGAAGAGGAACCTGTGATTCAATATACTGTGACATCCCACAAAATTGTGAGACTTTTTCTATTGTTTTATTTTGCATGTAGTAACAAAAAGTAACAGAAAAGTATGCAAAGGATAATACTGATGAATTAATTTACTCACATTTTACATTCAGAGAAGCATATTCTATTGTTATTCTGTCTTTTAACTGTAGCCGTAATAAATGTCGAGGAATATGGCAGTTTTGTTTTATCTTAAGCAATTAGATTAAAATTCTTATTACTTCAAAGCATTTTAAATATATATTTTAGATTCCCAAAGATGATACAACACTTGTTAGTCTTTCTTATTGATGCATACATTTCGTAGCAGCAGCTTGGCCTTCAAATGAGAATTTAGCATAAATTAAAAGTGTAGTGGAGTTTCTCTTTGAGGAATTTAATGTATTCACAACTGAAAGAAAAACTTTGAGTATATTATGCACAATTAGTATCAACAATTTATAACTCCAAACAATGTAAAGTTAGTTCTACATTGGCTTTAGCAATCAGATTAAAATCTTTCTACTTCAATACTTTTTAAACACATTTGGAGAGAGATGATGCAACATGTTTAAATATATTCTGAATTTTATGATAATTTAATTTTATGTTTAACCCACATTTCATGCTTTTTGTTATCTATGAATACGGTTAGTAACATCATTATGGCATTCAAAGGACAAATTAAAAGTGTAGTTTAGGAACTTAGCAGATTCTCTTTCATGATTTTTGCATCAGTGGAGTCACCCTCATCCAGATCCCGCAGTGCAAACTCAAAGTCGTCTTCTCCTTTTCATTTAGGGTTCACACACACACACACGCACATATGCATACACACACACTTCATTAACGGGTTACACTAGCACAAACCCATAGAGACCTCAGTAACAGCCATCATATGTGCCAGATAAGAGCCAGGCAACCCCACCTCCTCCGCCCGCTCTTCAAAGACGCACAGCTCTTCAGACGACACTGACACGGACGCCATTTTTGCTCCATGCCACTTTGAAAATCCACCTCCATCCTCTCTCTCTCTCTCCTTCACCCAGCAATAAAGTCCCTTATCTTATAAACCCATCAAACGTAAGGCTGTCCGTGGTGTACTGCAGGAAGGAAATTATGTGTCAATCAAAATTTATATCTGCTAATGTTAGCTGTCTTGCCCGCTAACACTCAGCGTACCTTTAAGTACAAGGAAGGGCAATTTAAAGTCAGTTTGTTTGGCAGCTCTGAAAATATAGTTGCCAGTCCGTCAATGTAAGGTGAACTTGTTATTTAGTATAGGTTATACTACATTATAGTGCAGTAAATAGTCCCTTTTTAAACATATTCTTATTATAAGAGGGTTTTCTGAACTATTCCCAGCATGTACGATCTTACAACATACGAACCAATATTGAATTCAGTTTATATTTGTAGAGCTCATAATCACAATAGCTGTTGCCTCACAGGGCTAAACAATAGTGTTTATTTAACCAACAGAAAATCAAACTGTGAAACATCATTTGTCAATAACATGTATTCATTAATTTACCAGCTGAAACACAATATTATATGCAGAATGTCCTGAATGCTGTTAAGTTAGGAGCGTTGCCACAGCATTTAAAGGTCCTGTAAAGCTTTAAACCTTGTTAGAATGTTTTTCCAACCTTAAAGGAACAGTATGGATTTTTGGACATAGGACCTCATTTCCTCGTAAGCCAGAGTGTTGGAGATGTGTGTAAACACTTTTTAAAAATATTTCATCCAGTCCTTGTATTTGCAGAGGTCGTTGGTGCTAGGCTAGTGCATGTCAATGGCCATAGTTAGCCTGCCACTCCACAAAGCACCCGAAACAAATATATTATTACGCCAGACTGTTGATGTGAATGTCTTTGTTGATAGAATAATTTTAGAAATAAAACCAACCTTGCATTTGAAATATTTGTCTGAGCAGCAGCAGCAGCAGCGAGTTGTACTTCCTGATAGAAAGCTTGGCAGCAGTGAACTGATATCACCTAGCACCTATCTTAACGGCAAAGTAAAATTCCGCTGTTGCTGAGAAAATAGTCCCTCAACATGCGAAATTCATGTCACACAAGGTTAGTTTTATTCCAGACATTATTCTATCAACACAGACATTCACATCAACAGTCTGGCATAAGAATAGATTTGCTTCGGGTGTTTTGTGGAGTGGGTAAGACTGTTTTTAGTGGCAGGATAACTATGGCCATTGACATGCGCTAGCCTAGCACCAGCGACCTCTGCAAATACAAGGACTGAATGGAATAATTTAAGAAGTGTCTCCACACGTCTCCAACACTCTGTCTCACTAGGAAATGAGGTCCTATGTCCAAAATTCCAGGCTGTCCCTTTAAAACATACCGAGAGAAGTGTTTTATTACATTCACACATGTTTGAGTAATCATTTATTATTAGTCTGTCTACATCTCCAAGCTGAGAATGCTCTGCTCCACCTTGTGATGTCATGAAGAAGTAGTTTTCAAGTTAATAATGTAGATGCCTTTTGTTTAGTAAAGATTGGCAATTCCAGACCTGAAAGTTTAATAACACAGTCGGCACTTCCTGTATTACCATATGACATCACAAAGTGGAATGAAATGTTTTCAGTTTGAGAGAAGAACGCAGTCTAAATGTGCAGGATTTGTGTGTTAAACTTGCGTGAATGAAAGAAAACACAACTCCGTGTTTGTTTTGGACAAGGAAACAACCTTATAACATCAGATCAGAAAATGGCATAATATGAGTTCTTTAACAAACTTTTGAATAGTCAGCTGTCCTCAAAACGGCACCATATAACAACAGCTGAAACTTATGAATAGGGTGTACTTTTGAAAGAAAGTCAAAAGCAAAAAGTGTTGTTCTCAATCCCTGACTCGAATAGCGCTTAAATAACATCAGATTTTTTTTTGTATACCCTGATATCAAAGTATAAAGTCGTGCTCTGTGTGAAGATGTGACACTTTCTCAGCCAGCCTTATTTGACCTTTTGAGATGAATCCAGCTATGGTCGTCTTAATTGGCACCTATTTGGCTATTTTCTATTCCGCACATCTGCGAGTGTGCGTCTCTCTCTCCTCTCACTCTCTTGCACTGTCTGACTTTTAATGGCTCTATAGGCACTTTGTCTGACAAGGTCTTTAATGAAGATGTTTTATTTTTAAACAATAAAACCAGGCAAGCATCCATTAGTTCAGTTATTATTATGTGACGTAAGACTGCAATGCTTTTCTTTTCCAGGTGTGGCGTCTTATTTATGCCAAGGTCCAGAAGGATACTGGGACCCACAAGGACCGGACCTGAGCAACTGCACCTCCCCCTGGGTCAACCAAATCAACCAAAAGGTAACCATCGCAATACTGCATGTTTCACAGTTAGAGATGAGAACGCAAGTATTGGGAATATTTTTGATCTTTTAAGGAAGTGGGTTATGAAAAACTGGAGTTGAACTGTTTGTAATACCTCCTTAAATGAACTTTATGTTGCCTGCACTCTTATTTTTATTTGTTTTTTTTTATGTATGGCAGTTACCAGTGCCTTAAAGGTCCTGTATAGGCTCTATTCACGCTTACATCACAAACCAGGAAGACGTTTGGAAAGATGCGATTACAACTTCCCAGGCCCAGTTTTTTCTTCATCTTCATGTTATTGTAGTGTTCCGTTATGTTCAGCTAATCAGCAATTACAACCATACCTCAATTTTAAGAATTTCCCCACTGACACACAACTCCGAAAGCACTGCGTACATGCTTTTAGAAGAGACGAGGCGCCAAATTCAAGATGATTCCAAACGGCACATACATATGCAGTCTTCATTTTACTGCTGATCACATTTACTTCATTTTTTTTTATCACAGTCTGTTTTAATACTAATAATAGTCCATGTTAGGCGAGCCCAGTGTCGGTAACTACACTGGAAGTTGTTATCGCATGTTTCCAAACGTCTTCCTAGTTTGTGACGTAAGCGTGAATAGAGTAGAGCCTATTACACAATATAATTTATAATATTGTAAATCAAAAATTTGCAAGGAGTTGTGTTTTAGTTTTATTATTTTTTTCCACCCATTTCATGTTTGAACAATCCTGTTTTATTAGGTTGTCTGCATCTCCAAAGCTCAAAATACTTTCTTCCACTGTGATGTCATATAGTGGTAGTTTTCACGTTAACAGTAATCCTTTTAGTTTGGTAGAGATTCAGTAGAGATTGGCAATAGAGGTCTGCACGGGACAGAATTTTCAATCCCACTCGCACCCGCATTGTGCAGTTCTGCTTTCGCCTGCTCCCACAAAGAATTGTAATTTTCAGTTCCACTCCAGCCTGCATCTGCCATATTTTGTCCTGCCCGCAAGTCCAGCAGGATGGGGATGTTCACTTTCTTAAGCTCTATCAAACACAGAGAAGCGGAAAGGAATTGTCTAAAATGTGTGCAAGGTTACACCACGTCTGCATATTTTTATTCATGCCAAATAAAATATCCAGCATAAATTATGTAAGATAGGCATACATTAATCATTTGTATATTTTACTTTACACTATATTTAGTTTGAGGGACTGCAGTTTATCCTCTCAGCTGTCCCGCTCCGTCCCACGCTCGCAATGAGCTTTCAAAATGTGTCCCGCACCACACTGTTTTGCGTCGGGTCACGCGGGTGTAGGGCATTTCCAGAGCTGAAATCATCCAAATGATTCTAGTGAAAGTGTATGGAATTTAAAAACACAGTGGAGCACTTCCTGTCATTTATATTCCACATGACATCACAAGGTTGAGTGTTTTCTGTTTGAGAGAAGAACTGAGATTAAATATGCAAGGTTTGTGTGTTAAACATTTGTGAATGAAACAAAACACAACTCTGAGTATGTTTTTGATGAGGAAACGTCATTATAACATAAAGTAGATCAGAAAATAGCGTAACATGGACCTTTTAACCTGCAGATAGAGGAGATAGACGAGAGCTTTTTCTCATTCTCAGTATATAAACAGATCATACTCAGCACTAGCACTGACTCATGATTGTAATATAAAAGCTATGTTTAAATGGAAAATCTCATATTTTGGGGCATTGGTGAGTCAGATTTGTGAAACTGAAACTCAAAATCTTACATGCAGTTCCATTAATCAATAAAATGTGACACTGAGCTAAAAATGTGATATTAGATTCTCCAAAACAGTAGGTGGCGGCGTACACCTTTAACCGTTGTTATTAGTCCGCCAATATCATTAAATAAGAACACAGGAATTGACTCCGAACTGATTTGCGAATAAATCCCCTGTTCATTAATCCACTCAATAATCTGCATATATTTTGTACGTGAGAACGGGAGGGAGGGTGTCACTGAAAACCAATATCACATTTTACATTCCTCTGTGGCTACCAATGAAACTATTTCCAGTCTTTTCAGTCCAATATGGCTGCTCTCTAAGCACAAATTGTATCTCCCCTTCTCCAGGCTCGGCATTATGCAAAGCCCCTTTCAATCTCTAATAGCATAGATTGGAAAAGAAGCAGGCAGAAATGTGGATGCGGCTATAGGGATAGAGAGGGCCCTCCCCTTTAAATGCCTGAGCACTTATGATGTACTCAATAGCACAAAGCGAGGCTCATTAAACAAATGGAGGTCTGCGGATATGGACGGCGAACTGTGGGAGCAGAATGATCAGGTGCAATAAGCCACAGGCAACTGTTGATGGTGTTGGAGCGCAGAGAGGTTCTTGCTGAAGTTGGTGGAGTGGCGTATGGGCCGGCTGTTAAACCGCTTTTTCAAACTCCATTTTGTTTTACAGTCTGTCAGGTTGTTTGTTTGTTTTTTCCAGAAGCAACTTAGTCGCTCTCAGAATACAGTGCAATTATGTTTTTATGGTAATTTCTGTGTTGTTCAACTGAACCTAGGGCTGTTGATTATGGAAAAAAAAAATCATTATCACAATTATTTTGGTCAATATTGAAATCATTATTCAAGATTATTCAAACAATCTTTTTTTTTTTTTTGTTACACAATGCATTTATTCTGTCTCTCTTAAAAAAAAAACACTTTGTTATTGATAATTTACATAAAACTTTCAAATTGAAAATAGATTAAGGCTACAAACATGTACCTTAGAACAGTTTTGCGATGTATAAAACATAAAGTCAATAAAATATATTTTGAACATGAAATAAGGCAAAGAAAAACATAAATGTATCCAAAATAAACTTTATATCCAGCCATTCTACAATCTCTCTATATAAAAACAAAATAAATATATGTATGTATATTTAAAAAATCCCAAAATAACCTTTGTTACGCTTTAAATAATTTCAACTCGATTATATAAGTTTAGAGATTGTTGACACACAAATCGAAATTGCAGTAAAAATTCGATTAATTGCACAGTCTTAATTGAACCCATTATCTGCATATTACTCATACATCATTATAATAAATATGATCTTAACATTAAACATCAGTCGAATATAGTGGGCACTATGTAGCTTTCTGGTAAGTTGTCCACATCCTGCTGGTCTCCATGGAGATTTAATTGCTTTTTTGCTGGAATTTAATGTACCTATTTACTATTCATGTCATTACAGATGTTCTTCTAGCTAAAAAAAATTAAAATTACCTTGAAAAACATGCCTTCAAACTGTGAACACATCTGAGCAATAACTTGACCTTCTGGTGTAACCTGCTTGCTATTAATACACTATGGAGCATTCTGGGCAAAGCAGTAACATCTCCATGGAGACAAATAGACTGCCAGAAATGTTGCATGGAGCAGCTTTAAACAAGGAACATTTAAGGCAAAAGACCTAAACTCTCCAGAGTGTGAAACTGAGAAAAATGATTTCAAACTTTCTGTTTTGTCCAGAGAAAAGTATAATAGGTGGGGCTCCCAAAATCTAACAACTAGTTACTATAATGAAGAAATATTTGTATGCGACAAGTATTGAGCTTAAAATTGACCTTTGACTCCATTATCCATTCCATCCCTTATAAGAACACCTCACCAACGTTGAGTCATCATGGTGTTTGTTTGAAATTATATAGAAGACCTTTGGATTTCCTGTTTAGTGCTGATCAAGATCGGCAACACTTACACAGTGAAACAGTTTGACAGACAAGTGACTTTGCAGTATAGTGTGTACAGTATGAATAAATACACAGAATACTTTCATATTAAAGAAAATTTAAGTATAATTGAATACAAAAGTGTATTTGTTTAATGTGTTAAGACCCTGTACTAAGGTCTCAACAAAAAGGAGGCAAGAGGTTGGATTTTAAAATAAAATATATTAACTAAATCCCAAACAAAACATACACTGTAACTGGTTTTTGTCTTTGCACGACTCCTTATTTTTGGCTCGTGATACAAAGGCAGAGTACAGGAACTGCCAATTAAGGATCAAAGGTCAATTTTGAGCTCAGTAATTGTCACGATATTTATTCACATGATAAAATAGGTCTCAAATACAAACAAAATGACATGAATTCGTGTTTGAGCAAACATGATGTTGTGGTGTTGGGTCAGTCCACCTCAGTTCACCCAGTAACTTAAACCCTACTTTGTCAAATTTTGATGAAACTTGATAAATAGGTAAATCATAGTCAGAAAAGCCAAAATTTTTTATTTTACTTTTGATCGGACTAGCAGTTTCCGAGATATCACAATTTAATTTCTTCACTCTTTTGCATGGTCGCTGAATTTGAAATTGCATTTACTCAGCAATGATATCAAAAATGAAGGTATTTCTGCAAAGGGGAAATCATAAGGAATCCAGTCAACTTCTATGTAAATTTGTGGGGAGAAAAAAAAAAAAAAAAAACCTCCAGATTTTTTATGTATCATAGTAGACCTATAGGGCAAAATTTTTTCTATTGATGATTGGTGTCATTGAGGACGAGCATGTCCTTTATTGTCAATTTCAAGGTCAAAATATAGGTCAAAAGGTAATTCACCTCAAAAGTAGTTAAATACAAAAATAATTAAACAAGAATTTCCCCTTTCCAGAGATACCTTAATTTTTGATATCGGACCAGTAGTGGCTGCGTAAATGCAATTTGAAATTCTCGCAAAAAAGTGAAAAAATTAAATTGCGATATCTCAGCACCCATACACTAATTTTCTTTGCAAATGGACAATGTGAGGGTTCAAATTGCAATTTTGGGGGGTGAATTGAGGTGGAATGAACCTGTTGTTTTGCCTATGTAGCAATATTAATACATATACGTCATATGCACATTTGACTAGTTTGGATCCCCTTTGAAATTTTGTCTCTTTCAGGCACTAACATTTGAAAAGTTAGTGCCTTAACTAACTTTTCATCTCATCATAAGGTGACAAACAATTGCAATCTTTTCGCAAGCAAGAAGTGAAAGTCACACTTGATAGACTCACTAGATTGATTTTCTTTTTTTAAATTATGGCTAAACACGTCCTGATGAACAAATGATCTAATGTATTTTTAACAAGTATTATCAATCTCTTTATTTTCCTAACTAATCAAACTAGCTGCTGTCGCTATGGAGGCAGGGAGACTTTTAATGAAGACCAACCTGCCAGCGCGGTGTAAAGCCCATCTGGCACCTGGTTAAACGTAGAGACATTGTCCTGGACGTTGCATGCTTCATTAGCAGATGGTTAGCTTTGACAAAATGAGGAGGTGAGGTGCAGGGAGGAACAGAGGAGAGAGAAAGAAAAGAAGAAGTGACACCATGTAGCAAAGAGAAAGAAAAAAGCAGGCTATTTACACCTACACGCCGACACATAGAGCCAACATGTGTTCTATGTGCTTGTATAGAAAAGGCTCATTTAAACGTGCACCGTGCAAAGATCTGCCAGCTAAGGAGATGCTATTGATGCTCTGAGGTATCTTCCACAGTATGGCTTTAAATTTATCTGTCTCCATGGAAATAAGCAAGCCAGATCTGTGATGAGGCAACCACTTTCCACTCCTTGTAATCTTCAGTTCACCGTAAGCAGTAGTGAAGCTCAAATTAGGCTAAAAACTGCAGCTACTATTGTGAAAGTTTGTTAAAGTTACAGAAAGCAGGCAATGAAATAAAATGTTGTGGAAAAAGAACAAGGTTTTCTCACTTTCAATAAAATTTTTCATCTTTGTCGTCTCTTCTAAACTTCTACAATACTAGAAATAGAATGATTTGTCAAGGAAGTTGTCAAAGTTGTCTAATAATGTGCAGTTCAGTTTCAGACAGCGGCACATGTACATATATATATATTTAAAACCACAAAACAATTCAAGTAATAGAAGACACGTGCATTATTATCTGTGCAACATGTAATAGTCCCCATTAGTTTCATAAAGGTGTTAGTTACACTCTTGGGAACACTTCTTCAACAGTTGATTTCATAATTGCTCCAGGATACAATATTGGCCCCATTGTACAGTCTTAATAGTAACTCATTAATTCAGCGCAGAACTAGCACCCATGGGAGAAATCCTCACGTTAAATGTGTTCTGTAGTTTTGGAATCTGTTTGGGTATTTTGGAGCATAAATATTGATATACAAAGATCAGAAATCACATGACGGCCTGGGCTATTATTGTTATGGTAACCCTGTAACAATGTAGGGATGCAACAGTATGGTTTGCCCACAATTCGATTCATACCTTGATACATGGGTCACAATATCGATTCGATTCCTTTACGTTTTAAGACGCATGTACCGTATTTTCCGCATCATAGGGCGCTCTGAATTATAAGGCGCACTATCATCAAATGGTCTATTTTCGAACTTTTTTCACAAATAAACAGCACCGGACTTTAAAAGAAACACAAGAGTTGGATGGGTCAGTGGGACTTTGTTTGGCGCGTTCACAGTGACTCTGGGCTTTGTTCAGCTGTGGCGTGTAGGGAGGGTGCTGTCTGGGACCACTGGGTTGTTGGCGTGTTCGCATTGACTCAGTTGTTCAGTTGTGTCTAGAAGTGGCACGTTACACTCGTTTTTTCGGTTCGTTCCTCCGTTCCGTTCCTCGTCCGCGTGGAGTGATGAGTGTGGCTGCGGGTGGTGCGGCTTTGTAGTTTACTGAAGTCGTGCTGGGACACCTGAGTGGATTCGTGTATTGGGTGCTCTGGATTGTGGGGCGCGCAGTCGTTTTTTGATGGGGTTGGAGGCTTATGAGCTCGCCCTATAGCCCGGAAAATAGAGTAATTTTTTTCTGCTAATGAGTATAATATAATAATGCTATGATGTTAATGAAACATTACATGCATTACATACACTGCATTACAGCACAAATAATGTAAAGTTTATATGTGAAGTGTTTTAGTTCATTTGGTTCAATGATTTACAGTTCAGCATTTTTATTCAGTGAAAATAAGGACAGAGCTTTCTCAGGCTATTTTATATTTTATAATATAGCCAGTCTACTCTTAATCTAGAGTGGTAGGGGAGCTACACTATCAGACTTTCCCTCTTTGGTGATTTCTTTTCCTCTTGAGTCCTGAGCTACAGTCTGTGCCACACTGCACTCTCCCATCCTGTTTCTGGGCACTAACACTATGGTATATTACATAGAAATGTCTCAACGGACCATTTTCTGAGGATAGAATCTCAGAAAAAGATTGTGTATATTGTGAGTCACGTCGCAGGTACATATGAGCTCATTTGATTAAAGCCGATGTAAAGCCAAAAGCTATCTTTGTCATTCCTGGGTCTGTCAACGTAAAATAAAAATTGACTGAAAGATAAAATCAACCTCTGTTAGAATATTTCAGCTGTATGTCCTTAGGGAGATGTTTTCTTGTTGCATCTGAGAAGGACGCTGTGACAACTGTTCTCCTTTCAGATATCAAAATGTATCGAATCGTGACACCAGTATTAGATATTATATCGAATATCGTTGCATCCCTTGTAACCATGTCCTATTCATTATTATATTGGATTTTTAAGGTGCGCTAGGTATCTTTTCTGATCATGCAACTTTATCTCCATGGAGACAAGCAGGTGATGACAGGCTAGATCTATGCTGAGGCAAGCCCATTCACTGCAAAAATGCACGTTTTAAAGGCATTTGTAAGCTGTAACTTGTAATAAATTAATTGAATAATGTGGAGAATTGCTTGCAAAAATATTAGAATCGCCATAAAAAGGAGGTGACTGACTCCACCCACCAGAAAAGTTACATAATTCACCTTTAAGTTTTTTTTTCATTTATATTCTTGTATTTTTTCTTCTCTCTGCTCTATTGTAGATCTTCAGCCGCTTTAATTATGACTTTATTCTTTATACACAACTACATGAAACACAAGATACAAAATACAACATTTAAATGATGTATTTCTGCATTTGTATTTCAGATAAAAGCCGGAGAGACCGCAGCCGTCATTGCCCGAGAGTTGGCGGAGCAAACCAAATCCAATCTTCAGGCTGGAGACATCACCTACACAGTGAAAGCCATGGTTCAGCTGGTGGATCTACTCGATGTTCAGCTCAGAAACCTCACTCCAGGAGGCAAAGACAGCGCTGCCCGCAGTCTCAACAAGGTGAGGCTAGAATATTCTCACACAAAATAATAGGGAACACGGTGGAGCTGTGTTGTGAATGAGGCCTACTCGAGCACTCGGTAATTTTTAATGATCCTGCCACTTGGCCCAGAGCTGTCATATTAAATTTGGTCTTCCATTTGCATGTGGTCCACAGCACACCAAACCTGAGCCTATGCTGCACTATAATGTGATAGCTTGTTTAATCTATTGTTTTAAATTGCCAGTATTACACTATTTTCTGAGTTATAATGTTATTTCCTCATCAGAAACATACGTGGAGTTGTGTTTTGTTTCAGTCACACATGTTTAACACACAAATCCTGCATATTTAGGCTGTTGTTGTTCTCGCAAACTGAAAACACTCCAACTTGTGATGTCATGTGGTGATACAGGAAGTGTTCCACTGTGTTTTTAAGCTCCACACACCTTCACTAGAATCATTTGGATAATTTCAGCTCTGGAGTTGTCAGTCTCTACTGAAACAAAAGGTAAAATTGTAGCTGTTAACTTGAAAACTACCACTTCATGATGTCACAAAGTGGAACTGAGCATTTTGAGCTTTGGAGAAGTACACAGAAAAATAAAAAAGGGTTACTCAAACACGTGCGAATGAAACCAAACACAACTCCAGGTATGTACAGTATTTTAGGAGGTAACAACATTTTAACATGACTTGCAACTCACAAGAGTATATTTTGTGTAATATAAGAGCTTTAACATTGGTTCTATATCAGCTATCAAATTAAATAATAAAATATAATATATATTACGCTTATTTTATTTAGTTTTCATAAAAATATAAATTCATTATTAGTTATCTTTATCTGTTTCGCTGTCCGTGGAGTTCAGAATGATGAAAAATGAGAAATGCTGTTAGAGTGATTAACAGCAAAAAGCCTTTAATTAAAATGTCCTTTAATTTTCCCCAAAATTAAGTATTAAGAATTTGAAAGCTTGATGGGGACTAATCAGCTATGTGGGCCATAATACAACTAATAATTAGATTTCTTTAAAATCTATTTTGGGAACTCTATAAACCTCAGATTTATGAATACTTTTAACCTTATCAATATTTTCATTAGCTGAAATTGTCTCTCGTTATGGTCCATTACCTCATATTTGGAAAGCCTCTGTCTGGGATACAAAATGTTTTCTTTTCTGTACAATTTTTGAAAAGTCTATAAACAAAATTAATGGGAATTTGGAAGCGGCTGCTAAGCTCCACAGAACACCAAGTTACAGCTAAAATAATAGTTTTTTTAGCATCCATTTGTGAAGAAAAGCAAACACTTGTGAAAATCTTCAAATCTGTCATTAAATCTTTGGAGCACGTCACTTGTAGCGGGAGACCAGCACCTGTTCTGAAATGGCCCCTCTCTGCTGTATTTTTTTATTTTGTTGCCGCGGCGACACAGATGTCCCCATTGAGATTTTAGTGGCAGTTTTCCCCATTGGAGAGGCCGCTGTAAAGATAGCCAATAGGACTCGGAAGGGAACGCTGTGTGCAAATTGACAATGTGGAGCAACTCGACTTTATAATACCACTCGAAAACACAGGCTCATAAAACCCAAGTCATAGGCAACTGCTGTAGTCGCCAGTTTAGTTATACTGATCTGAACAGTATAAAGGGGATTAAAAAGGATTAAACTAAAAGGTAATTTCATTCAAAGGTGTAATAATATCTTTTTCACTTCTACCTCACATGGATTCAGGAAGGAAGGAAGGAGCCAAGCTTTTACTATGGATGTCTTAAATGGAAAAATTAAACACAATGTCCAAAAAAACTCTCCAAAAAACAATCCAACAATGAAACTAATTTATCTTGGCTTGATCAAGGTTTGCCTCCACAGAACCTTGTCCTTGTTAGTCCTTGTCTAGTCCAGGCTTTTTCCAGGGTGAGTCCTAATTTTGGATAAAATAAGAGAAGCTTTATTTGTGCAACAGTGGGAAAATTCCAAGGGTTGAAACATAAGTTCAAGAACAGCAGGGGGATTAAAATAGGCAAATAGGAATCAAAAATCTTGGTAAATAACTATTAAAATTTATCTTAACTCTTTTCAATTCAAAACTGTGCAAATAGACCAAAAATAAAAGGCTACAGCACTTCTTTCTTTCATTCTTTGGCTAAATATACCAATGTTGAAAGTTCTAATAATTTCAATACTTACTTTGTAAAATATTGTGTGTGAAAATGTGAAAAATGTTTGTGGTCATCTAGTAAAACGTAGGGGTGTAACGATATCCAAGTCTCACGATACGATATCGTCACAGTTTGAGCTGCCCGGTACGATATTTATTGCGATATCGTGGGAAAGCTCACGATATGGTGGGGAGGCTCACGATCAGGAATGTAACGATATCCAAATCTCTCTGTACGATATTTTCACGATGTACATCTCACGGTATGATATTTATTGCTAACAAAACTGCTAATATGTTGCTTTTTCCTTTTAAAATGCCTTGACAAGACTTAATCCGAAGAACTAAGATGTAAAAGTGCTTAGAACTGTTATTTGTTCAAGTTTGCGCCAAAACAGAGCAAAGGATCATGGACTATGTAGTTCCCTCTGTCTTTTTTTTTAGCTATTGCTGCACCGTAACTTTTAATTTAAGCAAAGAGACTTGTAATTTGATGTATTGTGATGGTCCACGATATTATTGTGAGAACTCTGACAATACAGTATCATGTTATTTTGGTTATTGTTACACCCCTAGTAAGCCTTACATGTTTTTTCATTTTTGCTCCTTCGAACTAACGAACTCTCACTATTGTCATTGAAACACACAGCACTGTGACTTTAAACTCATTTAAATTCTCCTTATTTTGAATGCATATTTCAAAACTGCCGGATATTTGTAAGTATTTGCTAATTTCCACTCTCTCTCTTTCTGGGTTACAGCTGCAGAAAAGAGAGCGCTCTTGTCGATATTATGTTCAGGTACTGGGCATTTTTACCTTAATATTCACCACCATCCCCCTCATCCTCTCTCATAGCCAAACTCAGTGCATGTCAACTTCTCCATCGTGTGCATGCTTCGTCTCAAGCATCTCAATCACCCACAATGCACCAGCAGCGCTTTTGAGTTTTCAAGTGGATCAGGAAAAACCTAGAACCGTGATTGCCCCAAAAGTGACCTCATTATATCAAGCTTTAGCTGCTAAGTGTGCATAGCATGTTACGGCTTCCCCCATTGAATAATATATACATGGCCTAATTTAAAACCTTCTGCTCCCCTCAGCTAGTTCTCAATACACCGTTTTGTTATGCCATAATGGTACAATGCTTAATAACTACACTTTCTAGAGCCAATACATGATGAACAAACGCTGCATTAAGGATTTGTCACAGCACTTAATGTTTTCGCAGCCATACTGGAGGTCAAGGTTGGTCAGGGTTCAGTTACTACAATATAATAAAGAGCACAAACAATATAAAACTGTAAAAAATTGCCAGCTTGTTAGAAAGATATAATGCTAAAGTCGTCCTCCTGGGTTGTGGAATAGATCCGTAAAACTCCAATATCCAGATATTTATAACTACTTAATTCATTCTACATCGTCCTACACCAACCAAGAACTGAGAAGTTACAAGGGGTTAGAGGCTTATAAATATTTTGTAGTGGGATGCGTGAGATCTTTGGTGATCACCAAGCCATCGCATCTGTTCCTGATAACAGCCAGGGTAAGTAGAATGGGAGGGTCAAAATCAGAACCGTAGCTATCCGGGCGGTGGAAATTGAGGGGGAGATTCCAAGGACCAGGACAGGTGGGATTCCCTGCTGGCGAAAGTGAAGACCACACAGCACGTCCTTCTTATTTTATTGCACACAAATACTACACATTGCTCCAGCTAGTTAGTTTGACCTCCAGTATGTCGGCGTGAACAACAGGTCACATGCTTCTGTGACGTAGATGCAAAACCGTAATTATTTTACTTTTATGTGTTTTTCACTGCTAACATATTTAGATCACCTTTTACCTTTTACTTATGCCATATTCAATGAAAACAACACAAATTAACATGTTTTATAAGTTTCATTTTCATTTCATTTCATTTGGTTAAGTTACACCCCCTTCAGAGCGCTATCACAACACAATGAGCGTGCATCCCGCTATTGAAACTACTGCATATTGCACCATGTTTATCAAGTTGTTGTGAACAGTTGACAGTTGTTTCATGCTTTTGTGTATTTATGGAGGGGAGCGTGCCTCTGTTTCCACAACCTTACATTCCCTCATTTCTAAGTTTTTGTTTTGTTTTCAAAATTAGGCACTATGTTCCCAGATTTCCTTTATCATCAATTTGCATCAGATTTTATCCCAATTTGTTTCGAATTTGGTCGTCACACCCAACCTATACCCATATAGATGAAATGTAGAGGTCATGGAGCAAAGGACCCTAGGTTGAAATACTATGAATCATCCCTTTAAATGTGGTCTAAAAATAAAAATGACTTGATTTTGAGAAAAATCTTAGAAATGAGGGAACACAGAGCTGTGGCAACATACGCCTGACCCCTTTACTTTATGGAGAATTGCTGTGTGTGAGCATGGATGAACGCTGGACAGAATCTTGGAGATAACTGTAAGGAGAGTTCGAATAGGGCCTGGGAGAGATCACTAAATTACTGAAACATGCATGAATGACATTGAAATCCCCTTCAGGCATGTTGTTGTTGAGAGGACATTATAGCATAGTAGAAGGCTAAAAAAAAAAAAAAACAGCTATGCATAATACTCTCTCTTTAAGTCAATAATTTTGCATATTTTTTGTATACATATTTTTTTATAAAGCTGCATTTCTGCCAGATGTTTTGCGGCAAACATTCAGCACTGATCCCCCCGAGGCTTGTCAAGATGGGATCGCTGCTATGTATAGTCGCATGTTTGTGCAAATCACATGCTAATGCGATGTATGTTTGGCTACGTATTTGCCAATGAGCAACCAGCTTCCTGTGCGAGACTCACTGGGAGCAAAGAGGCACAATTTTCATG